TTTTTTTCTGTCCTTAATTCACGACAGTGTGCTTTCCAGGTATCTTTTTTTCTATAGGTGTGCAGTGTAGTTGACAAGCTACATCTTGTCTCCCATGCATATCATTATCAATATTTGTTAGCTTAGCTTATCCCATGATTCTTGATTCAATTGCTTCATTTTCATAGGTATTTCGTTTATTAGATTTTCGTCTCCTTTTGTAAATAATAGTTTTTTCCTTCATACTTCAATATCCTCACTCTTGCGCCACATTTTCCTTGCGATTTGTTATTCTTCATTTCCTTCAGTGGTTCTTTAATTCCTAGTTTACTTATTTCCGGTCGTTGTATGTACTACTGAAATATTTTTTAAATTTAATTATTTAAGGAGTTTTTGTGATCTTTTTTAAATCATAGAGGTCTGAGTAATATTTCTATAATAATTTTAATTACATTTAATGGGTGTTTTTTTAGAGTTATGGAAATGTAAGTTGGCAGTATGCAGTTGCAGGAGTAGGCAGATTGAAACCTCAGTGCCGAGAGACAGTTCTCGTATTTACAATACAGACACGATACTGGTACGTTTCGAGTGAAGGGAGTAGGCAGATTGAGACCCCGAACTCGAACCGAACCGTATCCCTCTTGATAATGGCTCCAAAATGGGAGCTGAAACGTCGAGCATTAAATTCTCAACGCGTTTCTTCCCGAGAACCTAGAGATTATATATATATATATATATATATATATATATATATATATATATATATATATATATATATATGTATATATATATATATATATATGTATATATATATATATATATATATATATATATATATATATATATATATATATACCCGGTATTTAGGGACACACCCTTCCGTTAGGGATCTATGGAGGAGTATCCCCGAGCCGCAAGCCCTTATCTCTTGCCGTACTGCTTCACCATAGGCCGATCAGATACCAGCATATTCTAGACTAAGCCGCAGATTCATTTAGAATTTTAAACTGCTGCGTTAGCCTTTTTGTTTTTCTGTACACCGAGCTGGGGATTTGAACTGACATCTCTCGCATTGAAGCGAAGGAGAAGCCAGCCGGCCAGCCCGCTTGATTATCCGATCGAATAATTATCTTTTGAATAAAGTTAAGTTCATGTCAATTTAAAAAAAATACCTTTGTTTTATTCCATTTCTATACAAGTTCTATACATCTAAAAAAAACACCCATTATACTAAGAAAAAAAAGCTTTGGTACAGTCAGATTAATAAAAATGTAGTAGTGGAGACATAAGTTATGATATATGAGTTATGATATATTTGATAGTTAAGAATATAACAAATTAAAGTAAAAACGAATTGGCCAGACACAGAATCAGACAGGAAAATTATTACTGAAAATACTTAGTACAACAGATCTAACTTGTTAACCTAAATAGCATGAAACTCGAGTACGAATTAACTTGAGAATCTCAGTAAACTTTACATTCCACCCACAAAGTGTAATGTTAAACTCCACTTACCTTATATCGTTTGATCTAATCGTTACGTAGGAGGTGTAAATTTAGAACCTAAACGCTCTAGGGGCTTTTTTCACCTTAGGCTATACCGGGGTGAAATCGAATTTTGCCTTATCGTCTTTTCCGTTCCAGACAGGGGAAACTCACGATAAAATACCTTCCTCCATACATCTACTTAATAGAAAACTGGCCTAAAAGTCATTTTCCAGAGCACTTATCGGCACTATCGTGGGTTTACTGCTAGGACGGCTAAAATGTATTTCTCATCAAGCTTTTAACCTGATTTATTTTTATTTTTACTACCGACATGGTTTTATTTTTATTTTTTAACCATCAATTTTGAGTTTTATGATTTATTTATGTTTTCTTTTTCTTTTTATTTTTATAGGAATGTTTGTTTTCGCTGATTTTGTCATTGAGCCACTGTTCTAGATGTTGGATACAAGTAAGTGTTTGTTTTCCTTTTTTCACCGGAAACTGTCGGGATTTCTTTTATTTCGTTTGTACGCGAAGTGTTTAGTTTTATTTTCGTTGAGTGATACATAACGTTAAAGGCAGTTGGAATATACAATTAGGATTTTACGAGGTTGTTTCTCCGGATAAACATGCAGAAAGTATTTAGTATTACGATGCTATAATTATCTGCACTTGGGGAAAACAAGCATATATAACATCGGAAACGTATGTTTTATGGTAACACGCTTATTCAATGAAATATCAAAATTTAAATAAAATCTGAATACCTATTTCTTTTTTTGTTATTTTTTATTAGTTGTCAAAAATTGTAAGATATTCTAGCTGTTTCACATTTAATAAAAATCTAGACTGACGATTGGTTAAGAAATAATTAAAAATAGGTTGGAAAGATTGATATACAGTATGGTGGAAATGAAAGGAATAAATTCGTTATTTCGTATACCGGAGACTTTAAGGAAAAATCCTGAAACCCGTCGATTTTTATTTTTAAATAAGCTATTCGTAAGAACACATTTTTATTTTTGACGTCATCTATGTGAGCGTGATGACGTCATTGCTAAAATGTTTAAATAGAAAGGGGGGTATTGTAGTACATCATTTGAAAGGTCTTTTAAATACCTACTCAGCCATATCAATATGCCTGAGTATTTAATGTTTGAAATTTTAATAAAATTTTATAAAGGCCATCACTGGTAATGGAATGTCTTTTTGATCTACTTTTTACCTTTTTAAAAAAACTAGTTACCTTATCAATATGAACATTGATAGTTGGGCATTCAAACTTAATTATCTTTCTGTCAAGTGATTAATAGTATTATTGTAGTAAACGTATTCAAAAAGTCTTTGTATCTTTAAACATGAAGCTAACTGAAACGCAAAGAATTGAAATTCTCATAATGATTGGTTATGGAGATAAAACACGTACGCAGAAAGAAGTATGTGCGTTATTTAATAATAAATACCCCCGTCGAAAATCAATTTCACAATCCAATGTAAGCAAAATTGAGAAAAAATTTAGAGAAACGGGCCATGTTAAAGACTTTCCTAAAGGTAGTAGAAAACCAATATCTGAAAACCAACAAGTAGACGTTCTGTTAGCTTTTCAAGATAATCCTCATAACATTTCACGGTAAGTAGCATTAGATAATGACATGGACCATTCAACAGTTCTTAAACAGCTAAAGAAGGAAAAGTGGCATCCCTACAAAGTAAGTTTGATACAAGAACTTATGGAAGATGATTTTGATAGACGAATTGAATTTTGTGACATTATAAGGGAACGAAATAACAGAGATCCGATGTTTTTAAAATAGATTATTTTCTCTGATGAAGCTACATTTCTACTAAACGGTCATGTCAATCGTCAAACTTATCGGTACTGGGCTACGGAAAATCCACACTGGATGCAAGAGTACCGTACTCAATACCCAGAGAAAATTAATGTTTGGGTGGGAATAATAGATAATAGATGTATTGGACCATACTTTTTCGAAGAAAAGTTAACAGTTCCTCGATATTTAGAATTTCTTCAAAATTTCTTGCTTCCAGAATTGAACCGGTTGTTTCCAAACAGAAATGATTTATTGCTACAGCAAGATGGTGTGCCTCCACACTATGCTGTCTTGGTACGAAACTACTTAAACAACGTCTTTCCAAATCGGTGGATAGGTCGAAGAGGAACAATAGAATAGCCGCCTAGGTCACCTGATTTGACTCCTCTTGATTTCTTTTTATGGGGATATTTAAAAAGTAAGGTGTATCAAAATAGACCACAAAATATTAATGAACTGAAAGAAAGATTACGTAATGAGGATGTTCAAATAACTCCGGAAGTTAGAGAAGAGAATGTTAGAGAAGAGTTCGCGGCACGCCTTTCTCATTGTATTTTAGCTGAAGGTAAACATTTTGTGCACTTAATTTAGGTTTCGTTGTATTTATTGAATAATACTTAACAGTATATTACTTTATGAGGCGGAGAAGCATGACTTTTCTTGACGCGCCTGATATTACGCGCCGAACAAAGTGAGGCGCGTAATAGAGGGCAAGTAATAGAGGGCGCGAAATAGCAGCACAATTTGCTGGCCTTTTGTGTAGGAGTTTCTATCTACTCGACTGTCTGAAAATGTAGGGAATACAGACATAACGTTATACCAGTCTATTGATACCAATTGATATAAGGAAGGTTTGACGAAATGTGCTCCTTTTGCCGTTTATTTAAATATTCGGCGTCTCAATTCATCACAGCCGTAGCAAAGCTCTTACTGAAATCTAAATCTTTTACAAATTTTGTAGAGTTCAAAAAGAGAGAAAGCGATAGTGGTAAATCGTTTAAGGCCATCAAGATAGATGGCACTGTTTCGAAGCTTACCACTCGCGAAGTGAGAAATAGCAGAACAAATCGCTGGCTTTCCGTGTAGGATATCTACAATTCGACAAAACTAAAAGGAGAAAACTATGGAATCTCACGTGTCCGGGTACTTTTGCGGGCAGTGTACATTGTGCTTTTTGTAGCTCATTACTCGAAAAGTGAGAAATAGCAGGACAATTCGCTGGCTTTTCGCAAAGCTCTTCAAATTTCCAGTTACTTAGTCATATCATTAGGTATAATATACCACGGTTTGATAATATTATTTAAAATCCGCAATTCCAAATAAATTGAGGTTTATGCATTTTATTCAGTTTGTTGTATGAATATGCAAGATCCCCAAACATTTGCTTAAAATATGCACAATATGCAATATATACATTTTGGATATTTGTGTAACTGTAATAATAATCTTAATAAAGATCTATTTTGAAATTTTTATATTTGAAATTATTTAGATCTGAACAAACTAGATATATATGTCAAATAAATAAATAAATTTTACTAAACTATTTTTGATAAAATTACTACAATAGTTCTATTATTATTAGATAAATACTTGAGATATGCGTTATCCTTACCTTATTGTACATTTAAATACAATCAATTTAAATATTATATTTTATCTTATCTTAACAAACGTAAACAAACTCGTATTGGTATCACTTAACGAAAATAAGTAATGACTATAGACCTAGAAATCGTTTAGATTTGTCATTAACTGATTCATCGAACTCACTAACCAATCACTTAACGACTAACACAGAGACAAAACGTAAATTTTTTATTGTAGTTATGACTGAAAGTGCTTTTAAGGCCAGAGACATAGGGTTGAGGGCCCAAAAGAAGATACTTTCTCGAATGGCGGGGAAAAACATAGCCAAGGCCTTCATAGACGATACGACAGCTTCACTTTTGGATAATTTATACCGACTGGCCAAACAATACGTAAGTCATTTTTATTATATATATTTAAGTCCTTAAAATTGTATAAATTATTTATTCTGTATTTCCCTATCCTCCTTTGTTTTAATTACTGTTAAACTGGGAATAAGCCACAATTAAAGATAAAAATACGTTTATTGACGTTTCAATTTCCACTTCGGAAATCGTTCTCAAAATACAAACAGTAAATTAAACAAATTTTGTTTTTTGTAACATAGTGAAAAATTCTTCTAATAATTTAATTTTATCTGACTCATTTATATTGACAATTCAGACATACATTATGCATTTTAAAGTAGATGACTTTAAAATGATATTGCCAATATTGTTGAGTTGCGCTCCTGGGACGACTTTACTTATAAGATAGTTCATTCGATTACATGAAATCAACTTTAACTTGAGAATATCCGTCAGAAAAAATCTTAACATGTAATTCTTCTTTAAAAAGACAAACACATGACATAATGACAGTAAAATTCTCCTGTTAGTGATTCCATAGTAAATTATGAGGGAAAAACCAGGAAAAAAACCTCATAATACTATCCCGACATTGTAAGTATTTGTTCGTGAATTTAGTTTACCTTCAACAAACATCAAAATTCTGATTTTATATGTTACGTTATTTAAAAAACATAAATGATGTATCCTCTATATGTTACTGACTTACTAATACTGGTATTTTCTTATTAATAACTTCCTCTTTCAATATTGGTAACCAGATCCTACTACATTCTGCCGAGGAATTTGCGACACAATTGGCCTCATTTAGCATAATTAGAGCCGCTTCTTTGATTTTTCTTTTTTTACTATCCGTTTCTTTTAGGACTACATTTGAATTATTCCATTGAACCCTATGTTCATTATCCCATGCGTGTTTACAGATTTGAGATCTATCAAATTCTCTATTTTTAATATAAGATTGATGTTCACTTATTCTAACATTTAATGGCCTTGATGATTCACCTAAATAAAACTGATCGCATTCACAAGGTATTTTATAAATGCAATTCTTTGTCCTTTTCTTGTTTATTGTTAGGTTTGGTTTTGGACAAAATAGATCTCAACGTGTTAGTTGTTTTGAATGTTGTTGAAATGTTGAATTTATTTCCTATCCTTTTAAGTTTTTCTGATAATCCTTTTATGTACGGTATTGTTATTTTCCTCATATTATTCCTTGTGTATGCTGTAGGATCTCGTTCCTAGGTGAATCATCAAGGCCATTAAATGTTAGAATAAGTGAACATCAATCTTATATTAAAAATAGAGAATTTGATAGATCTCAAATCTGTAAACACGCATGGGATAATGAACATAGGGTTCAATGGAATAATTCAAATGTAGTCCTAAAAGAAACGGATGGTAAAAAAAGAAAAATCAAAGAAGCGGCTCTAATTATGCTAAATGAGGCCAATTGTGTCGCAAATTCCTCGGCAGAATGTAGTAGGATCTGGTTACCAATATTGAAAGAGGAAGTTATTAATAAGAAAATACCAGTATTAGTAAGTCAGTAACATATAGAGGATACATCATTTATGTTTTTTAAATAACGTAACATATAAAATCAGAATTTTGATGTTTGTTGAAGGTAAACTAAATTCACGAACAAATACTTACAATGTCGGGATAGTATTATGAGGTTTTTTTCCTGTTTTTTCCCTCATAATTTACTATGGAATCACTAACAGGAGAATTTTACTGTTATTATGTCATGTGTTTGTCTTTGTGCTTTGATTTTTTCTGACGGATATTCTCAAGTTAAAGTTGATTTCATGTAATCGAATGAACTATCTTATAAGTAAAGTCGTCCCAGGAGCGTAACTCAACAATATTGGCAATATCATTTTAAAGTCATCTACTTTAAAATGCATAATGTATGTCTGAATTGTCAATATAAATGAGTCAGATAATACTAAATTATTAGAAGAATTTTTCACTATGTAACAAAAAACAAAATTTGTTTAATTTACTGTTTGTATTTTGAGAACGATTTCCGAAGTGGAATTTGAAACGTCAATAAACGTATTTTTATCTTTAATTGTGGCTTATTCCCAGTTTAACAGTAATTAATTTACAATGCCACAAGAAAATAGCTTCAGAACTCCTTTGTTTTGTTTCTAAATGTAGTCCTAATATTTTTTGTGCTGTTAATATCTTGCTGTATACTCACGAGTTTTGTATCTCATAAATTTCTATCTAACCTTGACCCCGTAGTGGCTAACGCATCTACACTGTCTTGTTGGCTCTTTCCACTTGCCCATTTCCTCTAGCCATACCGACTGCTGTGGTGAATACCCTTATACCCGTTTTCTCTGTATATTCTGAAAAATGTTTTGGTACAAAAGCTTTGCTAGCATCAATAATGATGATCCTCTTCGGATTACCAAATAATTTAAAAATTCCATCTAATATATTTAAAACATGTTGGGTCGATGTGTCAGGTACTGTCGTTAAATAAATAAATCTTGTATATGAATCTATTATGACCAATACATATCTATTGATATTTTCTGTAGTTACGAAAGGTCCAAGATGGTCTATATGTAAAGTATGATGGGGTCTGACAAATCTTGGAATCGGGTGGAGATAACCAGGTTTTTTTGCCTCCTGTATGTTTATGGTACAGACAGTGGAAACATGCTTGAACGTATTTTTGGACAAATCGGCGCATTTTCGGAAACCAATACCGTTCTTTGATTCTCTCCAATGTTTTATCTAAAGCAAAGTGGCCAATATCGTCATGATTTGCTTTGACTATTTGCCACCTACATTTTTTTGAACTACCCATCTCCGGTCATAAACTGTTAAGTAATTTGTATACCTTGTTTTCTATTAAATCATAATTTTGAAAAATATATGTATTGCTTGCTTTGTCTCCTGATAATAAGACTTTTCGAATTTGTGAAATATCATTATCTGTGAGTTGCGCTTCACGAAAGTAATCATTTTCAAAAATTGCTGAAACGTTGTGGATTTGTGTTTCATTGTTTTGTGAATTTTTTTCTGCAAAATTTCTGCTCAATTCATCGACATGCTGAAGTTGGTTTCCTTATTTATGTTTTGCTCTATCTTGTAGATAGAGAATCCACCTTGCAATTCGGGGAATAATTGTTTGTTTCGATAAAGCGTTTTTCACAGAGTTGCAATCCGCAATAACTGTAAATTGTCTGTCTGCTAGGTAATATCGGTATCTATCTAGAGTTTTCACTATTGCTAATAATTCTAATTCGTATGAGTTAGATTTCTTTTCGTCATTTGTTTCTTTGCTAAAATAGGCTACCGGCTTTTCAGTTTGCTCAAATGTCGTTGTGTAATAATTATTCCTGCAAATCCGTCTCATAGCATCTGTGTACACTATGGTGTCATGGTTGGGATTGAAAATAGTTAGAACTGGTTCATATATAATAAATGTTTTTAAACTTTTTCTAATTTTCGTCTCGTTTTCTTTCCAACACCATTTACTTCCTTTTTTTAATAGTTTTGTCAATTTGCTAGTCTTACTGAGCATAATCTGGAATAAATTTTCTGAAGAAACCCAGAAGACCCAAAAAGTTGTCGTAACTGATGCTGATTTTTAGGACATGTAAATTTTTTGACAGACTGAATTTTGTACTTGCTAGGTGAAATTTTATTGACAATTATTTCGTAACCCAAATAACTAATATGTGTTTGTAAAAATGTAGATTTTGATCATTTAAAAGTTGAATTGTATTTGCTTAATAATTATGTCACTGAAGTTAAGAGCAGAATACATATCGCTAATAAAATACAACTTTGGAAATTTGGGGAATATGTTCATAATAGACAATGACAATCGTCTTCGTGGCCACAAACTTAAGTTTAAAAAGGAAACTTTTTTAACAACAACCAGACAATTTTTTCTCTGTAATCGAGTGTTCTCGATATGGAATAGCCTTCCGGCTGAGATCATAGATGCTCCATCTGTCAATATTTTAAAAAATAAACTGGATGACCTTTTGTTGAACATTTAATTTGTACTAAACACTTGCTATTACCTATGTTATTGTATATTCATTTAGTTAGTTAGTGCTTAATATGTAACTACTGTAATGTAACAATTTAATTGTACACTATATAACATTGTAGTCACATGGGCATATGGGTTTTGCAACCCCTGCTCAAATCTATTGTAAATAATAATAATAATAATAATAAAACATTTAATGGACTAATTAAACATCTGAGATCTAACATCACAAGAAAAACCAAATGCAAAATATACAAAACCCTGATAAAATCGGTCCTTGTATATGGATCTAGAGACATGGAGACTGTCGAAAAGCGATGAGAACCTATTAGGTACGTTTGAACATGGAACATGGAACAAGTGGAACAAGATCTGAAAACACTTAAGATTACCAACTGGAAAAACAAAGCAAGGAACAGAACAGAATCACGGAAAATTCTAGAACAAGCCAGGACCCAGAAAGGGTTGTCGAGCTACTGATGATGATGAAATAGAAGAGGTACGAAATGAAATCAAATCTCAATTGTTTCCGATTCTACAATCATCTTCAATCAAAAATATATATTAACAATCAGTTCTCCGAGAATGTTAGGTATATAAGGTATATATAAAGGTAGTATATACCGGGTGGTGAATCGTCAAACGGACCATAGGAAACTCAATGGGAAATTTTAAATTGTTGAATTGCTGCTTCCCTAATTATTTTAGATCAAAAGTCATAAAAAACTATTTGTAGATGACTAAATTCTGAATTAAAAACAAATGTTAAAACCGTTCTACGAATCAAATGTACTTCAAAATTTTACAAAAATATAATAGATTTTTCAGACCACCCCTCAAAGTTAGGCCACACGTAATACAAGAATATATTATAACGTGTGTCTTTTATCATATTAATATCAGATGTTTGACAATTTGAATTGTCAATTTTTTTATTTTATGTTTAAATTATAAACAATGAATTTTACTAAATATTACTACTGAACAATATTACTTTGTGAACAGTAAATTATATTGT